GTAATAGTTGTCCATATACTTCAGATATCAAGTCAGGATTACTGTTACCAGTGCAGTCCATCCACATTCGGCAATACTGAACTGTAGAGGGATATCAGCACGCCAAGAAGAAACCCTTTCCGATTCATGTCGAATAGCAGTTACAGTGTCACTCAGCTCATAGGCGTGACAACAGTTAACGACCCTTAGGTCATGGGGATATAAGGAAGCTTCGCCTGTGGCAAAGTAATTGCAAACACCGTCGATGTAGATAATAAACAAAAGGGGCCCGAGAAAGCTACCTTGCACAACTCCGCTTGTGATGTATCTCGGAGTAGATAGGACCGAGTTGATTTTCATTATTCGGGTGCGACCACCGAGAAATGATTTTAGCCAGCTTAGCGAAGGGTTACTAATACCTAACGCGTTTAATTTTTCGAGTAGTATATTATGTGAAATCATGTCAAATGCCTTCGATATGTTGAAGTGCAGTACAAGGACTATTTTGTGTGTCTCACGACTACTGGTAATGAGGTTGAAGGGGCCAAAATGATGCGTAATGCATGATCTATTTTTTCAGAGAGGCGTGCCAATACTTTGTTATGAAATCTTCTGCAAGTGGGTATTCAGATATACTGTCTTTTGCAACTTTTTCCGTAATTCGCGATGGGGCTGGGGTTATTTGGTGGGTCTCTGGTTACTTACACTAAGCTTGCCTCCAGATTTGTAGTGCTAAATTACAGGGCTAGTTTTCCATTCAGTTGGATACTTTCCAGTTTCTGAAGAAAGACCGAACCACTTGAGCAGGGGCAGGGAAATTTTCTGTGCACCGTTCCTCGAGGCCGTTTAAGTGGAGACCGTCCATTCCTATTCTTTTTATGGGTCTCAGATTTTTGATGGCTTCAGCTATATCTTTGCGAGTAAATTCTGCAGTCGCAAAATGTCTACTGGAGAGTGACATGCTGCTGATAAGAGTACGCGGTTCACGACTGAAGTTCCTAAACCGGTCACCAAATAGTCAACAAATCATGGCTGGGTCGCTATAGACCACGTCGTTATGGAACGAGTATTGTATGTCTCCTGTTTAAGGGCGTTTCTTTAGAAGTGATGTTGGACTGTATACTTTGGAGCTAGTTCCAAAGGCTTCTAACCTCTTATTTCCGGCGTTTTGCGGACGCTAGCTTTTGGCTGATTTGAGGGCATCATGAATGACGTGCAACGAGGAAAATCCTTGATGGAATGGTATAGATTCGAAAGTCACCCGAGCATTTTTCGGTTCACCGATGGAATGTATTCTGACTGGCGGGTTGGTTTCACTGTTTTCAAGAGACCAACAAAATCCAGACGTGAAACAGCATTCCTGTAAAAAAGGATACCGTGGTTGTCAGTGAGTCAGTAGGAAACTAGTCGTCCCAGGGGAGAGAATCTAAGACGCTCTGTGGACAGTTCCAAGTCCGCATCTTCATAGCTGCGGTATTTAATAATCCGTAAGGCTTCCCTAATACCTTCACTTGGTGTTGGGTTAGGTGGACAACAGAATACCATTCTGTGATCACTACTGGAAAATTCGCCGCCGACACAGGTAGCCACTGGGATGATGTCATAGCAAAATACCAAGTCCAACATGTTGTCACCAGGATTAGGTGCATAGATATTTTGCCTCCAACCACAAACGTCAATCGTAGCAAGTGCCTCACTGAAGCGCCGCGGACCACAACCGGCTATCCAGTTAGTTTCACGAAGACTGAAGCCACCGGCAATTATCTTAAAATTCACACCATATGAGGAAGCGTGTGTAAATGGTTTGACTAGAAGCGTGTCCGCTTCCGCTGTTGAGCATGGTGCTCGATACACGCTACCTGTGAGCAATTTGTATTTGTCACCATGTAAGGTGACCCACAATAAGTGGGGCGCTGCATTTCATATATTGTCTTCGGCCTTATTTGCCGCAACCTGGTTACGCATTTAAATGAGACAGCCACCACCACGCTTACGATCTCGATTAGTGCTATGGAGAGTGTATCCATCAGTAGATAATTCTGCATCCAGGACGCTAGATGGACGCCATGATTCAGTCATAAGTAGTATCGTCGGTCTAGGGACTGGGACCGTTGTTCCAGGGGCTGACACTTTCTTAGGTAGGGAACGTGGTTGATGATCAGCAATGTGAATCGGTTTCTATGACTGATGAGTTTACCTACGACATCAGTTATACCTATTTCGTTACGTTCGTTTCCACGTAGTGTGCCTGTGAGTGATGTGTGGTTTGTGTCAGAAGCGAACTGAGACTTCCCATCGGTTTGTGGTGACAGGACAATGGGTGAATTTGTGACATCTAAGCCTGTTAGGCGAGGCAGGTTGTTCATCAACAAGTCTGCTCCATACTGATGCCACATGTCGAAGCTCGTTGTCGGTGGATGCGGGTTTGGATGATTGCAGTTTTGTGTCTGTGACTTTCTAGCTGGCACTGAATAACATGAGCCGAGCATTAGGTTTGGTGATCCCAAAAAGTCATGAGGTCCAAGCATGTTGGCGTACTTAGCAGGTGGGGTGATGTACCTAGTCTAAGGTAGCGGTCATGTGAGTTTCACCCTGGTCCCTTGTTCTGGTAGGGATGTAACCCCCCCGGGATTTGTTCTAATGCCGGGTGGTCGCATGTAGTGTTTCATGCGTTCGTGAGGCTATGTGTGGTAGCGTGATACCCGCCATTAAAATATCAGTTTTGACGAGGCATGTGAGTAAAGAGCTTTTCATTTCGAGATAATGTTTTATTTGGCTTGGTGGTGCGTATTTGTATTGCGGCCATTTTGGCAATGTAATTTTCTCCGCAAAATACGCTTAAAATCGCTCTGCTTAAAGTTCGTATCCGGTTTGATTCCTTAGGTTTTGCCTGGGGGTTTTCTGACCACAGGTTTTTCCCTGCATGGGTTACTCATGTTGTTTGTTTTTAATCTTGTTCTTGCAATGCATTGGCCAGCCATTCACTTTGCTTTTACGACCATATTTAGCCTTTTATTTCAATTGCTTTCACCAATGTACTCCGTTTAGAAAGAAGCTGTAGCGGCTACCAAAACTGAAAGTTTGTAACTAGGTTTTGTGCACACATTTTGTTGTAAAGTACAATTTCTACAGGGTTGACTTACTGTTTGAATATACATTTGTTGTTTGGTGACCTATTGTTTTGGATTTGTTTGGTTTCGCTCTGGTGCTGGTGACTCTGAAGATGCATATCTTCGTTACGTGCTACTCAGCAGATTTACCCTCACAAGTCACAACACTTTGACTGGGGCAGTTTGTCTTGGGAGTGAGGTTCCCGGACTCCGCCAAGTTTATTTGAGGGGTCGTACCAAGGTCTACAAACCGTTGTTCTCCAGATGATGCTGACGGGTCACTACACACTTTCTGCCGTCAAGTGTTCTTTCCATGCGTTCAGGCACCTCTAGGATTGTCGAACGAAAGGTTGAATCACTCTCAGAGTGCTTTCTTTGTTGACATGGCGTTCTATCCTGCACAATAGTAATTTCTTTGAAATTGAGGTTAGTTTTAATGCTGCTTTGCAGCTTCACAGACTTTTTGGCATCAAATGGCGTTAGGAAGTTGAAGATAATAAAGCAACTGTATTGTGAAAGTTTTTTGCGTTTACTCAAACGTTTACAATCGCGGGGTGAATTCGCCGTACCTCAAACTCACAGGACCTTACTTTTAGCACTTCCGAAATGTGTGTTGCTGGGTGCACTATACGCTATGGCCTGCTGAGGTGATGCCAATCGCTATAGCACTTCAGTAGCGATGAAATCTACTAAATTGTTGGCCTTTTGCGTGTTGTCACTTGATAGGGTTTTAGTTTGGTTAGATGAACAAGCTAATGGAAATGATTTCTGGAGCGTCTGTTGAACATCATCTAAAATAGCCTCAACATTGGCTGTGTCACCTTGGTTTTCATCTGGTCTTGCATTCATTTCGGAGGCAATGTCCGAGGCTCTGATGATCGGTGCGCGGAAAATAATTTCTCCCGCATTTAAACTACAGGGTGGATTATCCATCTCATTGCATTTGGAGACGAGCCCTGAGGCACTCGTTTTCCGATTTCCACAAAGACCGTCTGTTTTCTAGCTTACATCTTCATTCCCTCCCATGGTTAAGGTATGGATTTTGTTTATTCCCTGTTGTGTCAACGGGAGGTTATTTTACTCGGAAAGCTAAGTGAGTTTGCTAACCAAATATTATGTACGTAGATGTTACTACTTTTCAGATGGTACTAGATATCACAGTACACAGATAAACTGATTCAGAGCAAAAGGCAGAAATCACGTTGAAAAGCAACACATTTTCGAACGTACTGCGTACCACTCACCGGCATACCCCACAATAGGGGAAAGGCAAGAGTTATATGTCACCCCTTCCCATACAGATTATGCACTTCGCGGAACACTGCCGAAGTATATGTCAGTATCTACACCAGTTGACTCCTTCAAAAGCATGGTGGTTTGGTATGTGCGTGCAAACGGCTTTCGGCGAACACTCTTAGGAGCAACTGAAGGTCTGCTCATCCATTCTTGTATGCTGCGATCGAGGAATTCCGCAGTGTAATCCATCCCTTATTCATATTATTATCTGTAGCCCTTATTTTTCCTTGAGTGCTTTTCACTCCTCTTATCTCACTTCCCATCCAACCTATTCCCGGCATTACTTTTGGAATTGCTAAGGGTTAATTGATCTTGTTAACGGCTTTGTTATTCCTTCGAAGGAAGCTACACTTTGCAGAAGAAAGCCTTCTAATAAACTATCACCGTTCGAACAATTTGTCGTACCTCCCAAGTAGGTAAGCAGTAAGCACTTTGAGACCACCGAATGGGAATTGATTAACTAAAGGAACCGAGACTCAAAGCCTAGAAATTAGACCCTCGAAAATACAAATTTCCTCTACTCGCACCGCTGTTGTTGGATATTGAGAACCATCATTGTTATGCTACAATGTGTACATAAATAGGTTTAGGTCAGACGCTACGTGGTATTTTGATTTTTCGGTGGGTTGAGTTTTTCAAGTCAGTCCCCCTAGACGGTTTTCTGCTAAGTTCCAGTGTTCGCTGTGAGTTTAAGTCGCTTGATAAAACGGTTCGGACCACAAGTCTGTGATAATTTCTCAGTTCCATTGTAATGTTCACTTATTCCTACTTTCTGGAACGTTTGTTAACACTAAGAGATTATAGATTTGTGTATTTCAAATGCAACTTAGATATGTATTTTATCTGTTTTCCTCAGATCTTTTGGGTTATAATGCATAAAGTGTGCATAAACTTCTGACAAGACGTAGAAAGCACTCAGTATTTTCACAGTTATGTCCGGTCATACGGGTCATGTTGAACAAAAAGCCTGTGGCTGCATCAACAACTTTCCAAGCCTACCCATTTCCTAACCAAATGTACTTTCACTTTATGTTGCTGTGCTTATTTACCATGCAGTCTGCCATGTCACTCCTTGGTCTGTATAAAACCTAGTTCGAAATTACTTCTATTGAGCAGTACAATTCGTTTCCGTTCTAGTTAGGTAATTATTACGTCAGCATAAGTCGCCTAATCAATAATCTTGCAGGACAAGTCGAGGGGCTATGAGGAAAAATTACCTTGGAAACTCAGGGTTTTAGTAACACTGGCGGAGGGAGACCTGCGCTATGTGTTTTGGACTAGTGTTCTATCTGTGTTTCCCTGTCTCTTTTTGTATTTTTGCCCTGCTTATTCAGTTTTGCTCACGTTTTGAAAATGGCTGCGCGTTTCGCTATTCGTCTCATGTTCTGGAAATAGCTTTGAAATCTAGTTCTAAATGTGATCACAATGTTAACACACGGTATATTATGAAGAGAATAGTGCTATCATCCTTACTCGCTCCATAGTCTTATATGATGCTTTCCTTGCAAACCTCCGGGGATACGTAGGCATTTATGGAACTTTTCGGTAAAAGTTTAAGGCCTCTATACATATCTTCTTAACTTCCAACATCCAAGACTGATAGTGCGAGCGTAGAAAACTGAGTTTTTGATCCCTTGTATCCAGTTCTTGGGGCTCGGTTCGTGTTCACAGCCGAAAATATGGGCTTTCGTGAAAAGTTTTGTTCATCCTTCGGAATTTCCTGCGTCGTCCTAGGCACTCATTTGTCTGAAATTTTCGAAGCCCAGCCAAATTCATTACGTTAGTGAGCAAAAGGCAAGCAGATGCATTCTTAAATCGCAACAAGTCCAGCTTACCTACTCAAAGTTAAACAGTAATATATTTCAAGCCAATGTGTTCTTTCACGTGACCTTCTTAGTCAATTTTCCCAATAGGCATTACTGTATGTGGATATCTTTTCCAGAATGTACAACTGAAGACTTGTCTTGATGATAGACACGTAGTAATCATACTTGTATTCATCAAATTATCCTCGTACTCAATATTTCTCATTTTATATTTCTTTTCTAATGATCAAATGCTTGTGGGTACTCACCAGATTAAACCAAAGAGTGTTGATCTTGTAGTTTCATAATGATTTTTTTCAGCTACGTTTCTAGTCTTAATTGATTTTAGTAATTTCAACTAATAAGGGTGCTAGATTGATAAAAAGTAACAATAACAATAGGGATTCCACGAAAATTTATGGAAATAAAAGGATAGAGTGAATAATGCAGGTAATTAAGTCACTGTAATCACCAAATTGTGCGTATGTTTCGATGAGGAAAATAGTGTCATTTGACGCTAAAGTAAGTTTATACTACTTTTTTTTCCATGCAGTTGTAATCCAGGTGTATGAACACAAGTTGGACATGGTGCTTAAAAAGTGATCTGACGCACTATATCGAGCTCCTCTGTTGTCATGCATAGACTTGGTTGTAATCCCAGTCAAGACTACCTTTTTGAGTTCAGACTTAGCAACGACCGTAAATTTGTATCCGACACTGTAACGTCGCTTTCTTAACCGGTAGGTACTCCTTGTTGAAGAAAAACAGTCGAAACGTGCTCAACAACCATGTATCTTCATACATCAAGCTGTGAGCCACACCTGGTGTGCGAGAACCAATAATACTACTTCGCTGTCCAGATCCCGGTAGGTAAAGTGGGGTTTTCACCCGTGAACCACTGGTTGTAGGTCAGCTGCCTAGATCGGTGAATTACAGCTCCATGGTCTGTGTTCGTGTACGCCTTAACACTGACTATCATCAGACTTTCTTGGTACATTAGATAAGTACTTCATTCTCTCTGCTCCCTCCTACAGTGGATCCGTGTAGTAATAAATTATTAAAGCATCTTCACTTCTGTGGTTGCCACAGTCCATAATTACGTCAGCTTTTGATCGTGATGATTGTATATCTAGTAAATTTGAATTATTTTCTACGTAGCCTTTGACTAATGTGCTGTAATCTATGAAATAGTTTCTATGAGGATTTAAATGCCTTAACCCATTGTAGGTAACCAGCATTTCAATTTCCTTGTTATTGGGACTGAATTTGTTCACTGAGTCGTGCAAAAGTTTCTTTCACCTTTAAGCTGATTAGGTTACTTCGAAGCCGTTCCCAAATTATCAGTAGCTAGTAGGGTGTAATTATAACACTAACAAGATCAACGTAGAACCTCAAACAGGTGGACCGGCTCAAATGTCCACAACAGTAGTACACAAAAAAACAGGTAGATAGAAAAAAAGTGATATTAAAAGCATCACAGCTGTATGAGAAACAGAGCAATACGAAGAATAAAGTCAGTCAGAATATTCAAGCTTCAGAAGATGTCAAGAAGTGAATACATCTGGGCTATTGTCACTGATTTCCACCCATTACACCGGAAATCCACAGCCATGCATTCCTTTCATCTCCAGGACCACAACCACGAGGTCTACATAGCCCCCACACAACCCAGACTAACAATCAGGGACTTCATCAACTACTGCCACATCTAGATCTGACCAACCTGAACACCTCTTACAACCTAATCCATCTCCACCTAGCACAGAACTCGAGGTAGGCGGCAGTGGCACCTCATGCACAGTATACGTCTAAACCATCTCAGTCGACTGAGGTTCACAACCCATCAACCAACGTGCTTGTCTTGCCTAGTACTCTTCGCCCAACCTCAACATTGCTAACACGGTAATTCCACACAACGTGAGCAATGACACAAAACGTCTGTCATCAAAACCCTGAAACCGATTCATGTAGACTTTTAACAGGCATCTCATAGTCCATACAACACGACAGAACGGATAGCAACGAGATATACACGTCCTCTGATAGATAGTCGAATATTCGATGGTTGGTGCCACACATAATGTGCAAGCTAACAAATGCCGAACGAGCCTTCTTCATCCGAGGTGAGATCCCATCAGCAACCATCCCATTCAGACTGATGTAACTCCCCAAGTAAGTGAAGTCGTCAACACATTCCACCACTTCACTCCCAACCATTCAACTGGAATACCTGCAGATCAGTCCTAGAGAGTATCTTGCATCTGACACGTGCGAGCAAAACGCATGCCAAACATATTCAGATTTCCACTCAACATATCCACAAAACCCTGCGTTTCATCAGCATCCAGCAGGACCTAGCAGGACAGACAACATCATCTGCATATTCCAAGCTAATTAGATGACCTCAAGGGAATAGGTCAATCCATGTAAAACCAAACTTACCTAAGGTTATGTCCATTACTACATCTATAGCGAAGTTTAATAATAGGAGTGGTGACAGTGTGCATCCCTGTGGGACACAACTAGTTGTCGTCAATCCACTTGTGGACTCTCCATAAACCCTTACATAGTTGCATGAGTTCGAGTAGAAAGCCTTGACAAGCTCCACATGCTCGTTCCATAATGTCTTCACCTCACGGTAAACTCAGTCAAATCCAACCTGCCTTCAGGTCGAGAGATATGGCAAGTGTTGGTCGCCAGTAAGAATGCCTGTTCCACAACCTGTCGGAGGGTGAAAATATAATTGATGAACAGCCCCCTACCATCATCACCACCACCTTCCTGGTCTGAAACCTGTCTGGTTCCCTCGAGTCTGCTGTTCTCGATCTCCGCTCACGTCTCAGGTAGCTGTGTATCCAAGGATCTTGGACACAATATTAGTCCAACTGATTATCCTATGGTTGTCACAAGATTCCTCCTTCTTATAGACTCAAATGATCAGTGAAGTAGACCAGTCTGACGGCACTACCTCTCATTCCCATACACTACCTAATACTACCGTCACTTTAATTAGCGATTTCCTACTTTCCTCTCTAAACAATTCAGCTGGCAAACTGTTAGGTCATGCTATCTTACATCGTTTCTTCTTCCATATAGCCTTCTCAACTTCGAGGAGGGTTGCAGGTCAGACATCTACATCCCACTCAAATTCAGATTCGATGTTGGCCAACTAGAGAGTTACTGTGGCCCATTCGAATTGTGCTCCAAAGTGTTCCACCCAACATTCTAGCCGCCTGTCCTCAAATGGAGGTTATTAACATTTCTTCCTGTGCAGTGATGGTTTCACCAACCATCGTCTTGTTTTTCCCAAATCCTTAATATGAATAGGTGGTTGCCGGGTGTTACCCAACTCTGATGTCTTCTCCATCTCTCTCGTTTCCGTCACCCGACACTGCTTGCGATCATTACGAGAATTCTTAGTCAACTTACCTTCGTATTGCTTTCGCTCTTCATCATGGTCACAGCCAGTTTGAATCAGTTCGGATCACGTCACGGAAGTCCACTGACTTTTGTTAACCTTCTGGTGCAGGTTACCAACTGTTTTTAACACTGTTTCTACAACATACTCACTATGATGATGCCAGGTTTCCTCAGGATGAGCATCGCTGTCACCTTCGAATATGTGCTTAGCTAACTCGTCTCCAAATGTGTACTTGGGGTTCTCATCTTCCAATCGAGAATAAATAGGCTTTATTGTTGCTTGTTTCGTGTAACCAGTAAGACAGAGACAGACACGTGCCCGAAGTCAAAATAGATACTATAGAAAGAGCGCCAGTCCTCCACTGATCCTCTTCATTGATAGCCTATAGTAATTTGATCTATCTGTGTCCATCGTTGATTTGATGTCGGCGGACGCCATGTGAGACAGTCTCTTTTCCTTATGCTTGAAGTTAGTGGTAGCTGAAAACGTGTGATTGTCGGAACAAAATTGCAGGAGACGGTCACTGTTGTCGGTTCGTTGGCATGGGATTCCATAAATGCCTCCAAGCTGCCCTTTCGATTGGCTCAGCTTTCCTGCTTAAGCGTTGAAGTCACTTTCCATGATGACAACCTTTGAAAGTTTTGCTTTCGGTAGTAAACTCGACAGCTTTTCATAGAATTCACCCTTTGAATTATCTGAACTACAGTCGCTGGATGCATAAGAGGATATTGCGATTAGTCATCGCCTGGTCTCTCGATGCCTCCTAATCCTTACAGCTACATTCAGTTGAACAGCATATATACGACTGTTTACTGGCATCTGGTCCTAAAGTGCACATTTTGCCCTGCAAATCACTGTTATGCGTACGCCGGCGAGTCTACGAGGTAGCCACTGAGTTACCGGATACTCGTTATGTATGTTGAAGATTCCCAAATATGGTGAGGTCAATTAAATAATCACACATGAGTCGTGTGTACGTGTCTCAGGGACACAACATGAAAAAGAAAATTGAGTGACTGCAGAGCCCACTGGACTTTGCTTTGAGTCCTGTCCTATTGCAGGATGCCGTTTTGAGATTTGGTTGTTCCAAGGCCGGATAGAGAAAACCCATACCGCGAGCATCAGAAGACCGTGGGGCAGAGAAGAGCGTGCCATTCGGGGGCCCGGCGTTTCGCGACCCTCATTCCTGTAGCGAAGACAGCACTAGCATGACACCAGGTCATCCGGGGGAAACACCTGACTGCTGTCACACCCGTCCAGTTAGCAGTATTACTTCACCCTCATACCCCTATCATAGCATAGCGGTTTACACTATAATGGTGACCGCTCTTGTCTAACCACTATCCAGCAGACATTTTTGGCATGATAGGACCTCAAGGGAACAAGCGTTCCACCTAGTGTAGCTTATTGGATCATTGTGATATGCAAGCCGGGTCACCACGTCAGGGTTGCAGCTGTCAGTCGGGAGATGCTAATACAACGCATATGTTCTTTCCACGGTCGCACTTCACACTGACCACATATACACTTCTGCCAACTAGTGGGAAGCTGAGTGAACAATAGACGGCTTGGGACCCACTGGAAAAGTATTCGTTACGCATGTTAAAGTCGGTGTTTCAAAATGAACTCAATGTATGACAGTCTCTTTCATGTCCAAACACATCGCATCACCCCAGAATTAATGATAGAGTGTTACTTTCGGATGCTAGCAATCCTGCGGAGAAAACAGTGATTGAACACGCAGTCGATGGACATCTTCAGTTCGAGAGGGCCGGGTTTCATAAATGTGGAGCGAAGTCCCACTTTTTGCAGCAAAGCAAACGTTAAGGTAATCCAGGAAGTGATCCGGATTGTCTTATGCAACCAAAACACGTTCAACACCCAATGAATTACAGTAGACTTACTGAGGTTCATTGTCCGTTTTCATGGTCTCCTCGAAAATATTGATAATGTGATTGTCCTTGCAGCACACTAGAAATGTTGCTAAAATTCTTCAGCATAATTTATACTGTTATGTTTTCTGTCTACCCAGTTCCTCAAGTACCTTATTGTTTTCATCTGAGTTGAGCTCACAAAACTTCCAACTACAGCTTCTCAACATACATTAAGGGCAGAGATATCTATGCTGGACCAAACGAGTAGTCAAAGTATGAGCGCGCGTGGCGGATGGAGTGGAGATCCTCCACAATGAAAGCTATTGGCAGCGAGGCATACTTATGTCCACCGTTGATGTGAGGCTAATGATTGTTTGGCCAAAGTTGATGTTCTCTAGCACGAGATACTTTTCATTGCGTTATTAGAATCGGCCGTTACCACTGTTCTTCAGCTGGATTAGTGTTCCAAAGGTACTGTCTAAATGTCTGTTTACTTGGTGTAGCTTTCCGACTTATGCATAAGTGATCAGCTCCATTTAGTTTTTCATCGGGAGCTAGATAAGTTTTGGAAGAATTCATCCTTCGCTTGTTCAAACTTCAGTTACTGAATGTACAGACGTAAAGTACACCTCACGAAGTTTAGACGGCCAGGGAGTATCCTCCAGTTTCGCACAAAAGATGTGGCTCACTGCCTATTGCTTGGTTGCCAAGTGGATTTCGATTTCTTTTTTCGCATGTATCACGACTTTTATTTCCCTAAACTACAACTTCAGTTGCAGTGAGGACTAATTACAGTCCAGTGACACTTTATTTAGCCAAGAAGTGCATTTTGTCCTAGATCTTGGTGTTATGTTCACACCTGTATTACTGTTATAACAGCATAGAATCTTCAAACACCCGATGTGTGTTGATGAGCTCACCATACACACAGGATGGTTATATGAAGTACTACACTTGACTTGCGAATGTGGTTCACGTAAACAGTATAATCAGGACCTGAAATTCTAAAATTAGTCCAACTTGACAGAGTGTAGAAATTAAGTACTTGAACGCGTCGCTTGAAGTTTGGTTCAATTGGATTTCGTATGGTATTCCGTAAACTTCACTTGTACACGGCTTGTATGAGTGAAAGAAATTAAAGGTTGTGTCATGTTATTAGCAGGAAGCGGGGAAGAAAGCTCGCCAAACTGCAACGAGGATCGTTGATGATTATCAGAAAAAACCCGAATGTTGTGAGATGTGAGAAGACGGTTGATACTTACTGATGGCCCATATAACATAAAATAGACAACTGTTTCCTTTGCAGCATTGCTCACGTATGATAGAATCACCTCGTTAACATACGTTGTGTATACTGAGTCACCGCCTGCCTTGACATACAATGTTACCCGAAGTAAGGTCTAGACGAAGGCTAAAGACGGCCAAATCGAGATTTGGGACCAGTCTATTAAGTCCTCGACTATCGGTTTGAGCCGTTTTGAGAAGTGTAGATTGCCTGGTTAGAGTTTTCAACGTAATAGAAATCGGTGGTTGGAGACCCTTGATGACATGGCTGAAAATCGGTTAAATGATACAGATGTATTCTTTCTCTGACATCTCTAGAAGTTTGAACACTTCCACTAACTACCATTTATTGCTTCACTCTCCCTCCTTACACCGCTTACTTTGATGCCAGTCTTTTCCCACCCACTTGTCTTTTGCATGTTACTGTGAAGCGCTGCAAATTGAACCGATTCACTTGCGTGCCACGTTCTACACTTATTTGTCTGTCTATCAGTGCATGAGGTTTCTGCCTGAGTTACCTGAGCAAGTATTAGGGTTCAAATCAAGCACATGAAAGGACTTTCATGATTGTCTGGTTTTTTGTTCAAGAGACTGGGTGTTGATGTGTTCTCATGCTATTTCCGCAATTAACCGGTTGATGAATAGCCTGGGTGTAGAATTTTATCCGAATGATATGACATACCACACAATGTAAATACAGATATTATTGGTACTTCTTGTCATACGAACAGTCCTTACATTTGAACAAAAATTAATTAATGTTTGCCCATATTAACTCTTTGATATGTATCTAGTTACTAGCCTACGTCTCATTGGGTCCATATCGCCTCTAGTAGGCAATTGAGTGATAATGCGTGGTCATCAGTACTTGTGGGCGTCTTTCGTATTATTATGTCCCACTCAGTCACTCTCTAGGAAAAGTATAACCAGAATTAGATCACATCAGAAAAGAACTGTATCAGTGATTTTATCGACTCACAACTATGACTTCGTAGTCCATGAAACACCTTACTTGAAGCCATTTATGCACCGCCTTTTTATCGATTCAGATTTTGTCAGCTTGGATCAATACTTCTAAACGTCTTATCATTAGGACTTAAATTTCGTAGGGTACCGGTGTTATCATTCTTAGGATTGATATCTTAAGTCCACTTTTATGCTGTGATATAGGGGAGGATCACTGGAAACGCTTTTATTACACCTTGATACCGTAAGCAGTACAATATTTTCTGCGAATTAAGGCCTATCTGCTTCCAACCAACCTTGGCATAATCAGACTCAAAGAAAGATCTTTGGCTGACAGCTGAAATACTTCATTATAGTGAACAAATGCAACCTTTAAAGTAAAGTATAATCTTTTGCTTTATGATGTAGTGACTCTATGCATTCTTCAGGATGACTTAGACCATTATACATGAGCTGTATATAAGTCGATATAACTTGACAGTTTTTAAATTTTTCTCCATTTTCTCTTAGTTGATCTTTTGGAGCTTAATTCTACTTGATTTTATAGAGACAGTACTTTGTATGTATTCATTATAGGTCACTTCAATGAGCAACTGAAGCTAATTAATACCTCATATTCAAATCCGTAGTTCATACAGTGGGCTACTAAACGTATTAAAATAACACCACAATGCCTTGTATATATCTGTAAATGGTTTGGAGCCAATCTAAAAAAGTTTCAGGATGTAAGTTTCGTCTTGGCTTTTATTGATTAGCAAAAACTAGTGAGGATTACATCATCGTATTGAATTATTTCTTTTAAATCCTTTTCGGTTAAATCACTGTTTATCCATTACTTTACATTCATGTTGAATATTATTTCAACTTTTCAATTTAGAGATATATATAAGATTATCAATGGATGAGAAATTCTCATTGGTAGATGAGGATAAAGAAAATAGCTGTGAATTGTCATTGGATGTGGAACAAGTAATTCAGTAAGCTTAATTGTATTTTTATCCTTAATAGATTATGTCCGGAGCTCCGATTGTTCAATTCTCAAACAAATCTAGTAGCTTGTAAGTATTTGTTCTACTTTTATGACATCTGCAAAAGAGCACCATTTGCAGGTCGTTATTATTTTAAAGTTTGGATCCCCAGTGTATCATCAAGTAAACCACGGGGTAATGCAAATTATCACGTAAGTTAAGTTTTTTTTTAAAAAATCCTTCAGGTTGTTACAATGAATTCACTGCAAAAAGTTTACATTACTCCAATGCGTTCATGGCCTATAACTTTTTCTTTTCGACCTCCGGTAACACCGGCTGATTTTTGGATTCGAATAACTCCGATGTTTTCGTATGCAGAAAGATGTAATGAAGTAGTTCAGAGGTTTGAAGGTTTTTTTTCATTCATTTTCAACTATAGATGCAAAAAACATGAATCACAAACATCATCTGGCAACGGTGTCTTAGAGGGGAAATCATTTGTAGAAATTCTAGGATGTAGTTGTCAGTATATAATGGGTAGTAGTCTGCCGAATTGTCCAGCTACTCAAATAACTGTGCGTACGTCAATTGACGTCCTTCAGCTGCTTCATTTTTCTAAATCCCAGCCTCCTTCTAGTTCTGCTGAGTTAGATATGTCACAATCTCTTCTCCCAGAAGTAACAGGAACTATACACTGTAGACTTAGTTGCTATAACAGTTGTCTAGGTTTAACATCTCGAGGAGAAGTCGAGTTGGTGATAACTCTGGAAAAAAAAGCCAGGTAAGTTATTCTATCCAATAGAACTGGTTAATTTTCTATAAGTCATAGTTCATCTCGTTCCGATTTTGCCATTTTCTTTACTTGCTTTTCTTATGATCCAGGCTATAGATAACGATACAATGCTCTGAGACCATAAGATTAACGATAGAACAATGATTTTTCAACTCGATATTCAGCTGACACAAGAAGACGATAGAATTGAAGGTTTATTTACCCCAACCGAATAATAATAGGTGCAAACTCAGTCGTTTATATATCCTTAGATGACCTTGGTCAGAGAAAACAAAAATAGCATATTAAAAGTGTAAAATGGGCCAATCAGCGTTTAGTATCCTAAACTGCGGTAAAAAATAAACAATATATTATGGCACAAAAAGGGCTATAAAATAAGGTTTGAACTTTACAATGATAATATAAACGTATTATAACTTAGTTTTCTTGGGGATTAGCCATCCCTAACAGCTTTCCTTAAGGTTTATCGTAATGGATATATTTCCTACCTGAAGTGAATGTAGCAGACACTGAGAACAAATGTATTCATAAGTCATAGCACAGGAGCATATAGTAATAGTTGTATGTTGCTGATCACATTGTCTTAGATATCAAGCTAAATAACGTGAAATGTCTTTATTTTTAGTATTCAATAGAAAGAAAAGTATTACTCTCTAGTTCTGCTTATCTTACCACTCACTGAGTTATGGTCCCCGTCTTGAACGTTTGCTGATGATATCTTCAGCCCTTTAATAGTGAGTTGCATAGTTATTCTTCTGTGTTACGTGGTGCTCAGACAACACCAAATCACCATCATCCTTATCCCGAGCTATAAATCTTTTCTATCTGTGCTCAAAATTGGGAGAATTTCATCGGTTGGAGAGGTTCCATTTGAGAACAGTTTTCCTTCTTACACAAATGTTTACCATAGATCATCTTACCACAAAGAAAAATCTCAGAAAACCCCCCAAAAAAACAATATTTTCGTCATGCTTTATACTTGCAACTGTAACGGCAGTTTCTTTTCATTATGACTTTCGTTTTGTAAAACGTTATAAGAAAATTATTAAAAAGTGTATAATGTTTTAAACCTCAATTAAAAAAAAAATTCTTTCTTTATGCCTACCAGTGAATCATCTAATTTAGAAAATTTCGAAATTCTCGGTCTAGACAAAATTTGTGTTCGTTGTTGTTCATGCCCAACAAGAGATGTAAAATCTGATTATAAATATTCAGATAATTCTTCAGAATCAAGTTCTGTGGAAAGAAATTCTCGAAGATTATCTCTTAATTTATCTGATCATTCAAATGTTCATGTAGTAAGTTATATATAACTTATATAAATATTATGATATTTATGCGTTTAAACTAGGTGTCTAATGTCCTCTTTTTCTTACATCATCATCATCAATATCAGCATAGGACCAGGCATTACTGCGTAACCGTCCGACTTCAAACACCTCATATCACGACATCAAGTAAAAAACCGTGAAGTGGAAGATCGAGATAAGAAAATCCAGTCTATATATATATATATATATATATATATATATATATATATATATATATATATGATACCAAAACAGAGAAAGGAAGAATGACAAAATGGTGAGATTCAACATAGCGTCGTTAAGATGAAGATAATGTGTGTATACATCTGCACCACTGACATCATTTCTGATCCATGTGATCACCTAGACTCTCCTCTCCAACCACTCACTACCACTGCTTGCTTCCTCTAGTCCCCCCACCAACCCCAACCACCTACTCTGCATAGCCCCATATGGCTTAAACCAACAGTCACAGACTTCATACATTCATGCCATGTTTTAATCTGGCCACCTACAGCCTTTTTCCAGCCTCCTCAACCTATTTCGGCCAACATTGTGTGATGAGGTAATCGGTGACTAAGCATACGTAACACGTGTCGAAGCCAACCATCTCAGTCGATCAAGGTTCATAACCTCATCAACTGATTTACCTCTACTACCTAAAACTCTACACCTGACATCTTCGTTACTCACGTGTTGTGGTGACACCATGGAATATGTTGGCCTATATTAGAAGGCGACGGTGGTCAGTCTTTTGAAGCCTTCTCATGTCTTCCACCTTCAATGGCCATGTTTCACAGTCATACAATGGAACAGGGCAGACTGTTGTGCAGTACACGTTACCCTTCATAGACAATCGGATATCATGGTGGCGATATAGGTGGCGTTAGTTTTTATTACAAGAACACTTTGTTACATGTAACATTATTTGAGCTCCTGTTCCGTAACATGGAATTGTATATTATTAAAAATGGAATTTGTAGTTAATGCTAACTAGGACTAAAATTCTCACATCTATACAACAAAAACAGGAATTCTAGTTCGTATTTCCACACAATCTATCATTTTTAAGCGGTCTGCAAAATTTCAGTCAACTTCATTATACACTAATAGCTGTAATTACGGTAACATTGGAGAAGATAACTAATAGGATTGTAAGATTAGTCATAGTAGCAGAGAGATGTGAAATAACCAATCAGATTGCGGTGACTCATGCAACCAACTACTTATCATGAACTAAATTTGATATTCACACAAAATGACTAGGCATATCATCCAACCGTTAGAAATTCCAGGCAGTTTTCTTTTATATGCTGTAATCAACTGGAAAACAAGGGATGCTGGACAATTGTTTCATCCTAGTTTGAAAATTATCAAGAGTGTACACACCTACAACTGTGTATGTTAGACAGAGAGCAAGACCATTATCATTCAGTAGTTTACTGAGTTGGAATCCATTTGTTGACACTACAACTTCAATCATTTTGCAGTTGAGTGGGAATATCATTAGACTAAAACCCAGAGATTGGATGGCAAAGTGTTGAATATGAGGTTTTGGCGGTTCTTGGATCGACCTCGTGTGAAGTTGTAAGTGTGTGTGTGTTGTTGTTATCAAGTTCTAAAGTAAGGTGAAGCAATTACTCAATGTGTTATATAGTTTTCAATCTCATGTTTTAAATTCAGTCCCTTCTCTTAAACTATCTAACTAGTTGTTAATTCCTTATTTAAAGACCTCATATCTTCAACTATCGTTTCCACAATAGATCCAAGTTACGTGCATATACAGGATTGTAATTAGAATAAGTGTTGTTGATCCTACTCAACTTCTCAGATCAAATAAAATGTGTGTTCGAATCCCCATGATCAAACTTGGTACCTGGAACACTATGTTGTAGCTTTAAGTATTCGTAGTGATTCTTGATACTTGTGAAAAGGATTCATGAACCTTACCTTCCATTATGTTTGAATGTGTCTTATTTGTAGAGTAACTGTGAATGGCTAACAGATTACCCTTCTCAATTGACTTTTTATTCTATAGATGAGAATTCATATCTTGTCTACATGTCTACATTTTATTTCACCCATATTCCTTTTTTTTTCGCTTTTTCTAGAAATCTGGAGGTTTGAATGCTCGGTATAGTTGTCCTACGAAGATTCAAAGATTTGAATGTAATAAAGCTAACAATGGATCATTTCGTACCGTAATTATTGGTGGTAGAAAATATTTTATCATTATGGTCAGTTCAGTTTGATATTATAATCAGTGTTTAATATCCTAGTTACCGAAAAATTAATATTGAAAGTTGATTTGAATACATTTTTGTAACCTATATGGTGTCGATAAAAAGCGGGGATATTATTTGTGCTGCACAAATATGCTTTTTCTTTTGCTTTCGTATACACCGATTTTGCCTTTATTGTAACTCCAACTGTTGTGTTCAGTGAACTTATTTAATTGTAATTATGTCTAGTAAATGAGACAAAAAAGGTTTGGATTTAAAATTACGACCGGAACAGGCTACATGGCTTCAGGAAATACAAATCATCTGCGGATCAAATTGCAACGCTACACTACACATCATCATAGAACAGAGTATAGAATGGCAGTCAACTGTACTTGCACCTCAACCTCGTCGGTTTTGAAAAAGCCTTCAACAGCGTCGACCGAGAAGTAATTTGGCAGGCAGCTGCTTCACCACTAAGGTTCTAGTCCCATAAACCTTTAGCATCCTCATTCAATAGGTAATGGTGATCATGATACTACTTGCCAAGTAATTCACAATGAGAAGCTCAGTGATGTCTTTAAAGTAAAGTGAAGACAGTAAAGACAAGGTTGCCTGCTATCACCCATGATCTTCCTGATTGTAGTTGACTTGACTGGATCATATAACAAACTGTGAAGAGCGAGAAGAGAGGCATACACTGTTTGGCCAGTGAAAAGACCCTAGAAGATTTGGATTTTACCCCCGATGATGACTCATGTCTAATATCTTCTCGCACAAACTCGAAGATGTACAGACGAAAACTAAGTTGGAAAAAAGAGACAGCGAAGATGGACCTCAAGTGAACGTAGAGAAGACAGAGGTGATAAAGAAACCCAAACACCAACAACAACAAGCATCAATCACCATCAACGGGAGAAATCTGAAGGAAGTTGTCTCTTTCATCTACCTACCGATTTACCTACCTACCTACCTAGGCAGCATCGTCTGAACTACAAGCAACGGCGGCGGTGGCGGCACAGATGAAGATGTCAAAGCAGACAGGATCGGAACGACAGCAAGACAGGCCTCCCTGCATTAATATGAAATGATCAGTGTGGAGATCTACTGCACTGCACTGCACTCCACTCCACTCCACTCAGCATAAAGCATGAACAAGATCCGAATTTTCAACACTAATTCAGTCAAATCAGTCAGTACTTCTATGTGATGGTTGAGAGACTTGGAGTGTTACGAAGAGCGTTCCCAACAAACTGCAGACATACATCACATCAACAGCTGCCGCCCACGCTCACTCGATACTACTGACACTGAAGATCAGACAGATGACCAGAATAATACGAATAAGCAACAGGGAACTCAACTCTGGTTGGAAACCAACCAACCAACAACCTATCACCCAACAAATATGCAGAAGGAAGTGGAGATGGATTAGGCATGCACTGAGAAGACCATTCGGGGACATCATGCACCAAGCCAGGTCTTCGAGTGGGACCCGAAGGGGAAACGAAGAGTTGGGCGTCCAAGGCAAGGGTGATATGGAGGAGATGGTGTGAGGAAGAAATGAAAGCTTGTGGTAAGTCGTGGCGCCAGGTTGAAAAGAGTGTAGAGAGGAGAGTGAAATTGAGACGTTCTACTGAAGTCCTGTGTTCCACTAGGAACCCAAGAGACAAAGAATAATAATAATAAATATCTAGTAAATCGTCTACTTAGACTAGGTGGTTGGACAAGATAATTATCTCATAACTCACTCTTTGACTCCATTAACTCACTGTAAACAATCGAACTGAATAGAGTATACTTCTAACACTACTCAAATTCAAAAAGCAGTCAATAACAATGGGATAGACTCATTGAGGAACTATAACAACTGCCACTTATGTACAAAAATATGATCAGAGTGAAGTAGTTATCATGTGTCCAGTAATGTTCAGGTTGATAGATAACCGGTAAAGTTCTACCTATAAAACTAGGCTGGAATTTCTTGTGTTCCAACAGCCGATTAATGTTGTCATTAAAAGGAAGCGCTTGAATTAATCACTACTCTGTAGCGTTTTACGGAGGACGTGTTAACCATTCAGTCACTGAGCCGGAGTGGTTCAGTAGTTCATAGTTTCTAACCTTTGGCAATTCGTGATATAGCGCATCTATCACCCAAGGTTTTCAGTTGGTCTCCGCTTCTTTTCCCACTGGTTGACCCTACAGGTCATGGCTTCTCATAAGAACTTCGGGATATCCATCTGGAAGCATGTCACTCATTGATGCGCACTTTACAGCAATGCATTTTGAGGTGAATGGGGATTTTAATTCTGAGGTTAGTATTCATCACAAACTGACGCTGGTTGGAGAACCATTGAAAACCTGGGAATGCGTTCTCCGTGGAACCTGAACGTTCTGAGTTTGATCCGCAGCCGGGTCGTGGGCGCACACTGCTGAGGGGTTCCGTACTAGAACAAAATAGTTGTCTAGTGTTAGTCCGTAATGAATTTGGTTGCGTAACATACTGTTCATTTACACTCACTTATTATTGACACTTCAATTCTACATGGTTCTCTACTTCTGCCAATCACAAAACATAGTGGTCATAGCGGATTTTATTGAATCCCTGATAAAACTTATAAGAGAAGCGGTTGGGTTAGAATATTCGTTTTTTTTCTACACCCTTCACAAAACCTCAATCAATTTCTTATTCTTTCATTTGAAGTCTTTTTCATTCAACCCAATCCTGATAATACTGTATTGACAGCGATGTTCAATATATTCTGATATCCTGTTTTTGTCTGTGTTCACTTTGAATTTTCTTAATTTGTACTGTTATCATCACGGGCTTAGGGGTTCCACATTTAGACAGTGAATCCTGGTTTCGCTTGCACATCAAGTGTGGTCAATAGTCTAGAACATCGCCTATCGAAACATAAAGACAAAATCAATATAGAACTTGGTATTACTATTTAGTGGTTCAACTTGCCACACTTCATGTATGGAAATTAACCGCGAATACACTAAAATGAAAGATCAAGAAATAAGGAAGTGATTGAAGTGAAATTATGATCTCATCAGTAACTGAATCTCTTAAGTCATTTAGTAGAGTACCTGCCACAAACCAGATTTTCAATTTACTTTCAATCATCACCCAACATCAAAGTAGAAAGCAGTTGTAAGTGGTTGGAAATCAAAAAAAGACGAAAAATAAGAGGGTATAGAAATTCCACTGCCTCCATTCTTATTCGATTTTATCATAGATATTCTCATGGAGGTCTCCCTCGCGTGTCACCTGGCTGCGCAGAGGTTGACCTAATCGCAGGAGAATTTTCATTAGACCTATAATGCGCAGATGACACAGTCCTGTTAAGTGAAGACGTTGACAACATGCAGAGTCTTCTGAATCTGAGAATGTTTGGGATGCGTTTCTCACCACCCAAATGCAAATTGTTGCTCCAGGATTGGTCTCCAACAGTGCCTCGGCTAACAATAGAGAGTAGTGGTTATGTATCGACCACTTCACTCTGGGAAGTAGGATCAGCCCTGCACAGGTGTCTCAGTGACCGATGAAATCTCCACAAGGATACTGTTGTGACCGGGTAGTGGGGTTGCGCGCGTTGGTACGATGAATACTGAAACTCAATAGACACTGCAACCAAATACCTTTACGACTGACCTCTCTCAGTACCTTCTGCTTCACTGAGCTGCGAAGAAATCAGCAGACAAAGACAGCCTGTGACTGCAAGAACAGCGACAACTTTTATTAGGCAAATACATGACATATACGTATTTACGAAACTAAGAAGGTGAAGTCATAAATGAATCAATCCGATTTCTTGTATGAGGTCGGACTTCTCCAATCAGGTTCTCATGTCAGCGCATGCATAAATCACGACCTGAACATGATCTGATCATTACTTGAAAACAACTCCCCTATTGGCTGCCTTTTGTCCCTACGTCTCAGATATAAAGACCTCGGTTGGCTTTCACCAATTTACGCCACCTGTGGCGCCGCCGTGATATCCGATTGTCTATTAAGGGTCGCGTGTACTGCACAACAGTCCGGTCTGTTCCACTGTGTGGCTGTGAAAAATGGCCATTTGAAGGCAGAAGATATGAGGAGGCTTCAAGTGACTGACCACCGTTGCCTTCTAGTATAGGCCACCGTATTCAGTGGTGTCACCACAACACGTGAGTAACGAAGATGTCAGGTGTAGTTTTAGGTAGTAGAGGTAAATCAGTTGATGAGGTTATGAACCTTGATCGACTGAGATGGTTGGCTCCGATACGTGTTACGAATGCCAAGTCACCGATAACCTCATCATACAATGTTGGCCGAAATAGGTTGAGGAGGCTGGAAAAAGGCTGTAGGTGGCCAGATTAAAACATGGCATGAATGTATGAAGTCTGTGACTGTTGGTTTAAGCCATATGGGGCTATGCAGAGTAGGTGGTTGGGGTTGGTGGGGGGACTAGAGGAAGCAAGCAGTGGTAGTGAGTGGTTGGAGAGGAGAGTCTAGGTGATCACATGGATCAGAAATGATGTCAGTGGTGCAGATGTATATACACATTATCTTCATCTTAACGACGCTCTATTGAATCTCACCATTTTGTCATTCTTCCTTTCTCTGTTTCGGTATTTTATGTATATATATATATATATATATATATATATATATATATATATATATATATATATATATATGGACTGAATTTTCATATCTTCACCTTCCACTTCACGGCTTTTTACTTGGTGTCGTGATATGAGGTGTGGGAAGTCGGACCGTTACGCAGTAATGCCTGGTCCTATGTTGATGGATGATGATTTTCATAATCAAGATGAGGATAATATATGGATACATCTGTGCCATTAAGATCGATTCGTAGTCATGTTATCTACAGTCTCCAACCACTGGTTTCTTTTATCACGTGGACACTAACCGGGAAGTTCATTTTCTCGCACACAGCTCAGGCGAACAGTGAAAGAATTCATTCACTGACCCCCTGTTTTAGTCTGCCCTCCTCGAGAGTTTTTCTAGCTTAAACCTACCTCTGCTAGCATTGTACGGCATGCTGCACATGTCCCAGACACCTCATCGATTGACTTTCGTCTTCGCTTTAAAACTCTACACTTGACTTATACGTTACTCATGTAGTGATATCACAACACACAGTCTATGGTACGAAGACAGTGAGGGTTGAATACTAGGTTTCTCGTTTCTCCCCTACCTTTATTAACCATATTTCACAGCCGTATAGTAGAAGAGAGCGAATTTCAGCGCAGTATACGACTCTTAATAGGCAACTGGGCTACTGAGTTGTATTACTGTTATAAAAGAAATGTATTTGTGAAATCTTTGTGAAGTAGAAGAATACTTTTCTGATGTTTCACGACCCTGTGAGAGCCTCTTCTTCAAAGAATAAAGCCTGTACAAGTTATCGCATATTTAAGTAGTAAGTGGAGATATTCTAAGTTGCGTTGTTCATCTATGCCTATAAAAATGAAAATGCAGTCCACATCTATAGTTTTTGTTCTGTTTCATGGTTTTGTGCAACATATGAGAAGCAGACTAAATATAATTGTATTTATCTTTTAAGGTGTATGTGTCCCTTAGCGTTAAACTGTGTTTGTTTACGGCCAATATGCAAGTGCTCTTCAGAAATTATTAAAATTTCATATCATTTATATAATAATCATATTGAATGTATATTTATATCTTCAATATTGTAGACTGATGACCAGGCAGTGGCTACGTCAAGTAGCACACTAAGAAATTCATCTGCTTTGATATCTGAACGTTGGATAAGTTCTGGTTCTCAAAGTCGAAAATTAAAACGAATTCAAAAATTCTATCAAAAATTAGAACATTATGCTGGTGACTGGTTAGTAGTAATTCTTATCGCCACTTATGCATTTATAACTCATAGTAATGGTTAGCAAAAATTTTACTTTCTCATATAATCATGCTGATTATTGATTGAAGAGTTTGTGTGTAGCTGTGGCTCGTTGGTCTAGGTATTTGCTTTTCAACCATGGGTCATAGGTTTGAACCACACTGAGCCTACCCAAGCATAGGCAGCAGCCTGACCGTCTACTACATAGGGACGGGTACGTGGTTGCTGAATCAGATTTTACAACTGACGCCTGACCATCCAACCGCTCATTTACAATTTCTGTGATTGGTGTACTGTATACATATTATGATGACTTGAAGATGCACTGGATTCAAAACTACGACCGGAACAGGCTGGCTGGATTCAAGAAGTACAAACCATGTGCGGACCAAATTGCAACGCTACGCTACACATCATCATAGAACAGAGCATAGAATGGTAGTCAGCTCTCTACCTCAACTTCATCGGTTTTGAAAAGGCCTTCAACAGCGTAGAACGAGAAGTAATTTGGCAGGCAGTTGCTTCAACACTACGGAATACCACAGACCAAGACGTCACATGCCAAGTAATTCACAATGAGAAGCTCAGTGACGCCTTCGAAGTGAAGACAGGAGTAAGATAAGGCTGCCGCCTACTATCACCCATGATCTTCCTGATTGTGAACTGGATCATTCAGCAAGCAGTGAGGAGCGAGAAGAGAGGGATACGCTGGACCGGGGGAAAGATCCTAGAAGATATGGATTTCGCCGATGACCCGTCTTCAATGTCGCACAGACTCGAAGATCTACAGACGAAAACTAACAAGTTGACAGAAGAGGCAGCGAAGACGAGACTTCAAGGGAATGTAGAGAAGACAGAGGTGTTGATGATACCCAACCAACAACAACAAGCTGTAATCACCATGAGCGGGAGAAACCTAAGGGAAGTAATCTCTTACACCTACCTGTCTAGACAGCACTCTTTAAACTACAGGCGGCGGCGGCACAGACGAGGACGTCAAAGCAGCCAGTATCGGAAAAGCAAGACAAACGTTCATTACTTGAAACCAGTGTGGAGACCTACTGCACTCAGTATAAAGAACAAGATTTGGATTTTCAAGACTAATTCATTGAAGTGAGTGCTTTTATATGGTTGAGAAACTTGGCGTGTCAAGAAAAGCGTTTACAACAAACCACAGACATTCATCAGCAATTGCCGCCTACGCTCACTCGATACTGACACTGAAGATCAGATAGATGACCAGAATAATACGAATAAGCAACAGGGAACTCAACTCTGGTTGGAAACGAACCAACCAAGAATCTATCGCTTAACAAATATGCAGAAGGAAGTGCAGATGGATTTTTTTTAGCATATCGTTGACATCGGCTGTATAAGGACATTTCAGGTTGCTGAACATTCTGGTCATCTTTCTGCTGGTAACGGAGTTATAGCTAGTCGAACTATTTTTTTATACCTAGTCTAAGTTTCAAAGATCTCAACCACCTTACATTGTTTTGAATCCATGTTCTAGATTCATCTTCCTAGTGGCTCACTTATATTACCAAGGTTCACAATAAAACAAACTATGCTTGCCAATCCAGCTTTTTCGGCAAATGCTCTGTATTTTTGACACTCCACTCAGTATATTTTTGATATAATAAGTGCTGCATTGCTATCCTTTTAGCACCTTCATCATGCAATGTTGTTTGCTGGTAGTGTCTAGCATTTGCATGAGTCATCGTGAGAACCAGCGGTGTCTCATATTCAGCCTGTAACCATCTCTTAATGTTTTGATTAAGTACACAAAATGAGTCATGCTATATTCACCTTTTTTTAGCCCTAGAGACTGCTATGAAATTCTGTGTCAACATTTATTTCGCGTAAGGAGCTTAGAAGAGAGTAGATAGCCATATCGACTGAAATAGTCGATTGGATTTCGTTATTTCGGTTAGGAAGGCAGATTTTCTTAAAAAAGAGAAGTCTACCTGGTTAAGTGTACCCTTGAGAAATTTGTGCATTATGGAACGAATCAATTGGATCATAAATATATTTATAATAAATCTAATTGGTTATTTCACTTGTTAGGATAACCTTTAGAGTCAGCCTAATACTGAGTGGAAGTAAGGTATGACTTTAAAAGTTACCCTAGCAACAGCTAAACTAACCAATCAGATTTCTATATTTTATCAAAATCTGCATTTCCAGCCGAAATACAGAAACCTAATTGGTCATTTCAGTTGTTACTGCGGTGGGCTTTAAAGTCACCTGGACGTCAGCCACTTGTGGATGTGAATAGAGCAAGAAAAAACAATAGTAACAGAATTAGCATGCATGTATTTTGTGAATTCTCAGCTGCTTTACAACCTATAGAATATATTGTTTATGATGAATAATATGTCAATAAATCGGCAAGTTTTTCGAATTGAGATAAAAGGTAACAAAGATGTATCATACATCTGTGTGTGATAACGTGGTGGCTTATTATTGTAGTCATCTATCAGATATGCTGCATTTGTGTTTGTAAATCTCAAGTGAATTTACACGAGCTTTTTGATTAATTTCCGTACTTTGTAACTCTCTGGAATTTGCAAACAAGTGACTAGATGTCCAGCGCACCAAACTTACTTAACGAACAAAACTTTCACAGGGATTTCTTTTCAGAAGAGAATAATGCTAGACCCTTTAGAAGTGAAGAAGAAATGCACTGAGCCACCTTGTACACATCCGTACAGTAGGCAATGAGCCACACCTATTGTGTTGAGGGCTAGTGATACTCTTAGCTGTCCAAACCTCGTTAGCGGGGCGGGGTTCGAACCCTTGGCCCAGTGAGTGACAGTCATCTCCCCTAACCACTGATCCACAACTCCACGCCTTAAAAGTAAAAATTACATCATTTTTAAGCTTCGAATACATAGTGGAGATAGACAGATACTGTGACAATATACACTAGTAGTGTTACTGAAGTTCGCTCGCTTTCTTGGTGTACTGCATTTCGACATGATACACACATGATTGAACTTGGAGGACTATTGGAAGAATTTATAAACTTAGGTTGATTACCTCCAAACAGATGATAGAAATCGTAGTCATAGTGATAGTGTAACTCAACCCAGGTTACATGTTTGTCTACTAAACTATGAATCATATTTAATTGGTCACTGGAGGGTAACGAAACAATGTATCGAATCCAGTCCTACAGGAGATCATTCGCGGTTCGAGTAGCTCAGTGGTAACGTCGCTGACTACAACACTGCGTTGCACGGGTTCGAGTCTCAGGTGGGACATCAGTTCCGTCGGGGATGCAGATACGCCTTGCTGATGAGTGCCAACCAGCATGAAACCTAGATCCAGGACATACTGCCACATTTCTTGTATGAGATCTGGTGATAATATGTGGCCGAAGTAGGCTTAGCATGGTTCGAACCCTGAGCCCATTGGTTGAAAGTCAAATTCCTAAACCAGTGAGCTATATAGAGAACTGTGTGTATTTGGTTTTTTTTTTGATGCTCATTTAAGATATGCCATTTGATAGTAACTCTAAGTTGAAAACACGTCTTTAACTAACTAGGTTGAGTTTTATTAACTTCAGATTTCTCGTAGCAATACTCCAACTGATACTATGAATTAGACTATTTCTATTTCAGTGCAAAGCACTTTATAGGTAAAAAAAAATCTCAATAAAACGTTAAATGGCTGAGAGATGATCCTTTTCTAGTGGTTAATCTATTTATGTTGTGTTTGGTTGGTCGTTGTTACGGGTTTGGACTTCCTGTGTGGTCCTACAATTAACTGACTGATGAAAGTGGCGAACGCTGGCCCTAATTATTATTATCATTATTATTACACTGAGTTGCTATTTAGCGATACTAGTTGACTCAAAGGGAAGAAAAAGACTACTGGCTCGCACAATGCACAACGGCAGTGTATTTATAGAAATATATAGAAAATGCTAAGGCTTTAGAAACATACCTTATGTTCGAAGGCCTAGTAGATCTGTTTTAACTACTGTTTGGTCCTCAACACTATTTCTGTTTCCAGTGTCGTCATCTACTTCGTTTCTCCATGGTGTATAATGGATATTATGATCCATCTCTATGTGTAATATTTGCGTATTTGTAATGACATCATGGGCAAAATATTATTATTATTTGTCCCTTGGGTTCCTAGTGGAACATAGGACTTCAGTAGAACGTCTCAATTTCACTCTCCTCTCTACACTCTTTTCAACCTGGCGCCACGACTTACCACAAGCTTTCATTTCTTCCTCACACCATCTCCTCCATATCACCCTTGCCTTGGACGCCCAACTCTTCGTTTCCCCTTCGGGTCCCACTCGAAGACCTGGCTTGGTGCATGATGTCCCCGAATGGTCTTCTCAGTGCATGCCTAATCCATCTCCACTTCCTTCTGCATATTTGTTGGGTGATAGGTTGTTGGTTGGTTGGTTTCCAACCAGAGTTGAGTTCCCTGTTGCTTATTCGTATTATTCTGGTCATCTGTCTGATCTTCAGTGTCAGTAGTATCGAGTGAGCGTGGGCGGCAGCTGTTGATGTGATGTATGTCTGCAGTTTGTTGGGAACGCTCTTCGTAACACTCCAAGTCTCTCAACCATCACATAGAGGTACTGACTGATTTGACTGAATTAGTGTTGAAAATTCGGATCTTGTTCACGCTTTATGCTGAGTGGAGTGGAGTGCAGTGGAGTGCAGTAGATCTCCACACTGATCATTTCATATTAATGCAGGGAGGCCTGTCTTGCTGTCGTTCCGATCCTGTCTGCTTTGACATCTTCATCTGTGCCGCCACCGCCGCCGTTGCTTGTAGTTCAGACGATGCTGCCTAGGTAGGTAGGTGAAAGAGACAACTTCCTTCAGATTTCTCCCGTTGATGGTGATTGATGCTTGTTGTTGTTGGTGTTTGGGTTTCTTTATCACCTCTGTCTTCTCTATGTTCACTTGAGGTCCATCTTCGCTGTCTCTTTTTTCCAACTTAGTTTTCGTCTGTACATCTTCGAGTTTGTGCGAGAAGATATTAGACGTGAGTCATCATCGGGGGTAAAATCCAAATCTTCTAGGGTCTTTTCACTGGTCAAACAGTGTATACCCCTCTTCTCGCTCTTCACACTTTGATGCATACATTAGTATGCATTATTCATACATCCAAGTAGTTAGTAGGGTATCTAACACGGTGCTGCCCAGGGTCTCGCTGATATTAAGAAACGATTACTGATAAAGGAGTTGTGAACTCATTGTTTAATCATTGAATGTTCAAATCGATCATCAGTTCTTTTTATGCTCGAAATTTGCTGTTATAGTCAGAGGAAGATACTAGGCGCTTACAGTGTTATCTTCAACAAGTCATTCGCCAGCTGGTTCCAGTGATATGATTTTGAATGTGATTAAGGTGCCAGGGATTTTCAAAGCATGAATTTATATAGTGGGCAATATTGTAATGATACTTGTAATTTCCAGTCAATATACACGGCCAAATCTCTCGACCTCTGTTGGCAGATGGACTCCTATGCAGATGCCTTAACACTGTCGGATATTCATGATGTTATATTCATCTTGGTGTCTAGCAGTGGGATCCAGGATGTACATTTCATCCTTTTTGGGACTCATCAGCTGGATATACCTGCACCCTAGTGGGTGATGTTATTGTTCCCGCCGAGGCTTGAACCCAGTACCCATCGCTTCAAATACCAAAGCGTTATCCATTAAGCCACTGAGACACGATAACCACCTCTCATGTACCTAGTAAATAACGCTTTGGCGTTTGAAGCAATGGGTACGAGGTTCGAGTCTCGGCGGGGACTTCATTCGCCAGAGTCCAGGTATATCCAACTGACGAGTCCCAAATAGTATAAAGTGCGCATCCTGGGTCATTATTATCGTAACATATAAAAAAGACATTCTGCAACCAAGTCTACCTCAGGTAGTCTAGTCAAAAATGTCTGAATGTATATTTATAACGGTACTTGAAATTCGAGATGAATATCCAACGGTTTCAGTCCTATATTAGTTGGTTTATTTACTTCATACGAAATGCATTTTATCATTTATATTGACTGCTTATCGAGAAATGATTGGTTGCTTTCCATTCAATTAAATTTTGAGGGAGTTGTGCTTTCCATTTATTCCTTTCATTGTGTACTCATTTCTTTCTACATTTGTTTTCAGTATAGATAAAGAAATGTCTCGAAACGAAACTGATCCTACTGTATCTCATGGATCTCAGGATAGCACAAGTTCAGTTTGCTCTATGGCAGACAAGGTTAGTTCATTGCTTCATGATAAAATTGATGTATTCTCGTCACTGTATGTTACACGAACTGGTTGATTGGGTATCGTTTTTCTGTTGTAACAAATAAATATTAACTAAGATTAATCTAGTTGCACAAGATGAATACTATGCATTTATCCTTCATAATTCATAGTACCAAAAATCTACTTCTTTGTAGTACTGCAGAATATATTGTTAGAACCAGGTCGATCCTCTAGAGAACCGGACGTGAAATGCTGGATTTAGGAGTTGATAGTGCTCCACCTTCTAGTCAAATAAATTATGCTACAAATAAGTTTTAAACCAGTGAATTTGTGACCGGAATCTTACCTTTCGTTGTCACAAAACAAGACAGTCTCATAATTCAATGTTAAAACCTGGCACAGACGTTTACCAGTCCAAGTTGCCGCACTTATCACCTACACGCAATGTAAGACTGAGTAGAAAACGAATGACATTAAAGTGTACAACAGGAGAGGGAATGGGTAAATGAAGGTTACTAAACATGTTCGAAACTTCTTTAGACGACAAGAAGTGCATCATTGTGATTGATGTTGAGCCATTTTGCACAGAGTCTGCCAATCATTGGTTTTTTACCTTTTGAGGACTCCAGTCAGGCAGCTTACATCTTCACACATGATCTTGTACTGCCTTTTGTTTAGTTTGACCACACTTACCCTTCTTCCAAATAAATCCTACTTCGTGGTAGGCAGTGGCCTAGCTTGCGCGTTCACAATTTCACTGACTGAATTGCCTTCCTTTTATAGTATTCTATATTTGGCCTCAACTTCGTTGAAACGGTGATTTCACTATACGTGAGCAATTCTACGCTGACATTTGTGGTAAAAAATCGTCAACATCTTTATATTTCCTACTTTTAATGGCTACTTCTCGTAGCCATCCATACAACTTATCCTGGATACCGGAAGTCAACTTTTAAACTTACCTTCGAAGTTATTAAATTAGATTAGTTCTCATTATATGAATTCACATGCGTTATGAAGACCAAGGAATCCATAGTAGAAACAACCTTTGAGCCACTATTCTGTGCTGTTTTATTTAACTCTCACATTATATTTAAGCAAAAAGAATTGAAGATTTTGTCCTTCATTTTGTTGGATGAATTGTGTTAGTATCTCCGTATCCAAAACAATCAATAATATTTTTGAGATGAATGGGGATTTTTAGTTTAGAAGTAGTATTCATCATGGACTGACATCAGTTGGGGAACCATTGGAAATCTGGGAGCACTGGACAGCTGTTTCGTCCTGGTATGGGACTCCTCAACAATACGCACCCACGACCCGGCTAGGGGTTGAACTCAGGACCTTCAGGTTCCACGGCGAACGCGTTAACCATTCAGCCACTGGGTCGGTTTCCAGTGGTTCACAATCTCCAACTTTTGTCAATTCACGACATAGCGTGACTGTCACCCAAGGTCTTCAGTTAGCATCCACTCCACTTCCGACTGGTTGACCCCACAGGTCACGGCTTCTCATTAGAACTTCCTAGCATCCATCTGGAAGCAAGTCACTAATGAGCACTATAGAGTAATGTATTTTTGAGATGAATGGGGATTTTTAATTTCGAAGTAGTACTCATCATGGACTGCCATTAGTTGGGGAACTTTTGAAAATCTGGGAGCACTGGACAGCTGTTTCGTCCTAGTGCTGAGGAGTTCCATACCAGGACGAAACAGCTGTCCAGTGCTCCAGATTTTCAATGGTTCCCCAACTGATGTCAGTCCATGATGAATACTACTTCTAAATAATATTTTTGCTAAAGGTCAATTATCTAGGCATATGTACTAATTCATTGTATAGGATTTTTACTTGTGTAATCCCGGCGTAGTATGCTAGAACAAATAACAAAATAAACATATATTTTGTACTATTCCTCAACGTTTCGATCTTGCTAGGAAGATCCTTTTCAAGAGTATGAATGTGACACTAAGTTTTCAGGTTAATATTCAAGTTTTGGTACAGAAAGTGGTGACCTTTACAATCATTCAGTTACATAGTGATATGGAGCAAAGATCAGTGTAATACAGGTGAGTGAATAAGCAACTCGGTCAGAGAGATTTTTCCGTTGTGCGAGTTAGGTGGAACAAAACTCATACTAACTCGGTGCCCAAGTTTTTTCAAACCATCAAGTCCATTGTTGGTCAGGATACCTTCAAACATATGTACTAAGTTTATGAATCGATATATTACGTAACATGTGTTTGTTTTAGAATAGTTCAGTCCAATACACTGCACTTTCCGCTTACTTAAGGTCAACTATAATTTAGGTTATCGTTTAGGGTTTATGATTTACAGTCATGTCATAAACTTGCAACTTTATGAATATACGAGGTCTCAAATGGCAGACATTGGACAGGATAATCTAGCACAATTAACTTAACTGGTTAGAAAATTAATTTTCCCTGCTAAACACTATAAAAGCTGTATTTTGTGGTGTCACTACAACACGTGAGTTACGCAGAAGTCAGGTGTAGAGTTTTAAGTAGTAGAGGTAAATCAGTTGATGAGGTTATGAACCTTGATCGACTGAGATGGTTGGCTCCGACACGTGTTACGAATGCCTAGTCACCGATAACCTCATCACACAATGTTGGCCGAAATAGGTTGAGGAGGCTGGAAAAAGGCTGTAGGTGGCCAGATTAAAAGATGGCATGAATGAATGAAGTTTCTGACTGTCGGTTTAAGCCATATGGGGCTATGTAGAGTGGGTGGTTGGGGTTGGTGGGGGGACTAGAGGAAGCAAGCAGTGGTAGTGAGTGGTTGGAGAGGAGAGTCTAGGTGATCACATGGATCAGAAATGATGTCAGTGGTGCAGATGTATACACATATTATCTTCATGTTAACGACGCTATATTGAATCTCACCATTTTGTCATTCTTCCTTTCTCTGTTTCGGTATTTTATGTATATATATATATATATATATATATATATATATATATATATATATGTATATATATATATATATATATATATATATATATATATATATATATATGTATATATATATATAGACTGAATTTTCTCATCTTCATCTTTCACCTCACTACCTTTTTACTTGATGAGGTGTGGGAAGTCGGACAATTACTCAGTGATGCCTGGTCCTATGTTGATATTGATGATGATGAAACACTCTAAAAATGATGTAATAAAATGGGATGTGACATTGTCGTTCACTTGGTATGGGGTTTTTGGGCAATATACGGGCTATTAATCGAACCCTAGCTGCATAGTAAGTCCTAACAGCAGCGTTCAGTCTCTGCTTAAGAATTGTGCTAGGAAAGTCATCTTTGTACGGAAGACTGATAAAGACATTCGTCCTTAACGCTGCTGTTAGAAGAACTTACTGTGCAGCCAGGGTTCGATTAATAGAAACCACTAAGCCCGTATATTCCCCTAAAACCCCACAGCCTATGAACGACAATGTCATATCTCATTATATCTATCAATTCAAATGTACTTGTGGTGACATATACATAAGGACTCATAGATGCATGCCAGTAAGGTCCCCATAACATATTCCAATGTGGCCTCAGGAGCAAATTAAATCACCTGAATCCATAAACGTTGATAGCAGGCGTCGAAGTTCTTCGATTGCCAAACATATCGTTGAGACAGGTCACAGGATTAATGTGGCCACTTCCTTTACACCTATTTATAATAATAAAATTCAATGACTTGATACACTCGTTACAGAGGCTGAGAATCCTAGATGAAATTATTTTTTGCACTGCTAATGAAGACAGTTTTTGTTCAATGATGCAAAATAAGTGTTCAGATCTTCATGATTTTCCATACTTTTGTGACTAAATGTCTTTTGGTGATGGTGCTGGGTGTGCTTAGCAAGTGAATATCGAAAACAACTGGCGTTTTTTTAGTTGTATCAAATGAAGTCCCCTCAATTGTACACGAAGTGAAGATTGTAGCAGTAGTAATAGTAATGGTTGTTCGTGGAGTTGTGAATTCTGTTTGATGGTGCTAATACTTTCCCTGTACGCATGCATCATCAGAGGATTTTCGGTCCTTTGTTGATAATAACGCTTTGAATTGCTTACGTCTGTGATGGATATTGTTTATAATTATAGAAATCCATTCTTATCCAAGGCAATTATATATATATATATATATATATATATATATATATATATATATATATATATGAGGCTCAAGCTTAAGTCGAAGGGGGGGGGGCGAAGACAGTTCACAGTTATCCTAATGTAGGCTACATCTCGCTGTTACCCTGACCGTTTGGGTATACAAATGAATAAAGAAGAATGATGCCAACTGTGTGGCTGATATCTCGATAGACTTTTTGGATACTGAAGTTGTACTGCAACGTTACATTTCAATGTGAAGTAAATTAACGTCCACGGAGAAACCAGTCAGTCAGTTAGCATCAATATAGGATCGCAAAGATCCAAGTTGCAACATCTCATATCCCCACACCAAGGTCGAAGGCACCGGTATGAAAGATGAAGAGATAAGAGAAGTAATCTTTCTTGAAGATAAAATAGTCAGTGGTTGAAACCAGTTACAGGAGGTCATATCTGGTTCCCAACGCCAACTGACACTTCGTTTCACCTAATCAATAATCATCGATCTTTAAATAACTGTGGTACTAACCCATCTAGCACTGCTATCCTTCCTTGTTTCTGGTTGTTTACAGCCTTCTCACTTTCTCCTCGAGTTGAAGAACCTGTTTGATTTTTCCACTCATGATCTGATTGGTTGATAAGCAATTGGATAATAACTGGAAATTAGTCTAACTGTACCTCGAGGTGTTCCACCTATTGTTCCAGTCGTTTTCCCTCCAAGTGAATCAAGGACCCATCCTTCTTTGCAGTGGTCTCAATAACCATCAACTTTTTTAATCCCAGTTTTTTTGATGAGTGTAAATTGTTGTCTACTGGTACCTGTCACCGCTGCCTTTTCTATCTCATTAGGCTTCACTGCCCACAACTACTCACGT